GGTTTAGGCTTCCGGGTTTAGGGTTTTAGGGTTTAGGGTTTAGGGTTTAGGGTTAAGGGCTTCCAAAAAGGGCTTCCAAAAAGAGCTTCCTTTAAGGGCTTGCTTTCAAGGGCTTCCTTTCAAGGGCTCCTCTAACCGGGGTTAGGGTTTAGGGCTTTAGGGCTTCAGGGTTTTAGGGTTTTAGGACTTCAGGGTGAAGAGCATTAGGGATCGCGACTTGACTGCGTTGTCCCTGGGAAGGGTTTTCTCAAAGCTTTAGGGTTCCGGGGGTTCGGGATTCAGAGCTTACTTTTTGGGTTTAGGCCTTGGGTTCTTGGGTTCTTGGGTTCTTGGGTTCTTGGGTTCTTGGGTTGGTGTCACGAGTTTGTTTCAAGGGTTGGATTTCAGAGCTTTGGGTTTAGAGTTGCCCCTAAACCCTAAACCCTGCTTCAGTGGTAGAGCTTAGGGGAGGCAAAGGGACTTCCAAGGATTTCCTGGCGTTTGCTGCGCCAGACTCCCTCTCGCAGTTCTATCTACAGGAACACTGTAGCGGCCTAAGTTCTTGGACTGGTGCTTGGGGAAGTTTCAAGCGAAAGCAGTTTAGGCAACCCCAAGCAATAGGATTACTAGTCCCTAGTCACTACTTTGTCAAGCCTCCAATTCCCAGACCCCCGGGACGATCTAGAAAGTAGAACCCCTAATTTGGGACCCTATACTACTAAAGGGTCTTTATAGCAACGCCCCATTAAGGGATCTACTTTTTGGATCCTCCCGGGGGTCTGGGTTATTCAGGCTGCGCACTCTTGGCGCTGTTTGGGATGCACGGCCGAAAGCTAGGGCAAGTCCTAAGGCGCTTGGTGGAAAGGCTGTGGGGGCAACCATCTCTAAATCCTAAACCCTAAACCCTAAACCCTAAATCCTAAACCCTAAACCCGAACCCAAAATCCAAGTCCTAAGTCCCGAAGATCCGGCTCGACCCGCCGAAGAGCCACTTGTAAGGGTTCCGAAGCTGTGCAGACTGTTAGGGTTTAGGGTTTAGGGTTTAGGGTTATGCTTGCT